GTTCAGCGCCTTGTTGAAGCACTCAATCGCACGGTCATACTTGCCGCTGTTGTAGAGCACCACACCAAGCTCGTTGAAGGTGCTCGCTGTGCTTGGGTGCAGCTCGCCCAGCGTATCCACCTGAATGCGCAGGCCCTCGCCATAATACTCCGCAGCGCGTCCATACTCGCCTTTCCTGTTGTAAGTCTGAGCAAGACAATTGTACAGGGTGCCTGTTTCTGGGTGCCTCTCGCCCAATGCCGCCGACGTAATCTGGAGGCTTTGCCTGAACAACTGGATGGCGCGATCGTACTCGCCCTTGGCGCTGTGCACCTGGCCAAGGGAGGCCTGCGTGGTGGCTGTGGAGGGATGCGTCTTGCCCACCGTGCCCAGCTTGATCTGCAGGCTCTGTTCGTAGCAGTGGATTGCGCGATCGTATTCCCCTTTCCTGCTGTGCACTTGGCCGAGCTCGTGGAATGTGGCTGCTGTGGATGGGTCTTTGTCGCCCAATGTGTCCAACTTGATCTGCAGGATTTTCTCGAAACACTCAATGGCTCTGTCGTGCTCGCCCTTGTTCTTGAACACCTGGCCAATCGCGCCGTAAGCAGCGATAACGTTCTCGTGCGTTGGCCCATAGTCTCTCAAGCACGCGTCCAGCGCTCGCTCGAGCAGCGGCAACGCGTGATCAAAGTCACCAGCCTTCAACAGGGATGCACCAACGTAGTAGCAGAGGCGCGCAAACTGGGGCGTATCAGCCTGCTCGTCATCAGCTGGCTCCACAAAGGAGAGCATCTCTGAGAAGCACCAGTTCCGCATCTGGTCCTTGACCACCTTGTTCAAGTGTAGGAAGCCAACGCCGTCCTCGATTGCCTTGAAGATCATCTCCTTGTCCTTGGGGTCCCAGGCGTCTGCCCGCTCGGCCTGCACGCGCACCATTGCGTCTGTTACGGCCTCGTGATCCTCCAGCACGGCCTCCTTCAGCGCGTCTCGCTGTGCGTTCGGCAGCCGGATGGTGAGTTGCACGTCTTCCTGACTTGCGCTGCAGAAGATCTCCCACAGGCACCATGCCCGTGTCAGCGGCACGGGGTCGTGCCACGGTGTCAACACCAGCAGCACATGGCCAATCGCAGCAATGGACTTCTTGAACGTTGTGCTCCACCTGCAGTTGGGGTTGGGGGGGGGGGTTGGGGCAAGGACGGGAGGTTGAGGGCATGGGTTGCAGAGGTGACAGGTGGAAGTGAACAACGAACACACACAGACACACATGTATACACGCACACACGAACGCACACACACACACACGTACACACACACACACAAACGCACACACACACACACACACACACACAAACGCACACACACAGGTACAGACACAAGCTCCATACCACTCTTGAGGAAGGTTGGCTGTGATGTCCGTGTTCTGGTTGTTGATGAAGAGATCGAACCAGAAGAACACTTGCGCTTCGTCTTCGCCGTCGTCCTCGCCTTGCTCGCCTGCAAACTCCAGGAGGGTGCCAATCACGTCCACGATCTTGTAGCGCCACGCGTGCGACACAAACACGGTCGCCTTCCTGCCCACGTGCTGTGAATCCATGACGTCGACATACGCACACTGCTTCGCCTTGGTGCGTGGGATCACCACGCTGTCGCACGCCTCTTTGGTGGTCATCTCCTGGTACGTGTCTGGGTGTGCTGCCTTGAGATCGGCAAGGAACTGGCGCAGCCCAGCAGGCGACACGCCTTCCTTGCGAATCGCATGTTCGTCCTCGGCAGAAACAGTAGTTGAAGTGGTCGGTGCTGGATGCGCTTGGTATTGTGTCACGCCCTTTGCGTCTTCGCCATCGTCGCCTTGCTGCTCTTCTTCGCTGGTAGGCGGCTGTTGTGGCTTCGCGGTGCTTGACACTGGCGTCTCATTCACCACGTCAACAGCGGCCGTTGAAGCGGCGAGCTCGCCTCCTTTCTGTCGTGCTTCGGCTGGCTCTGGGTCGCGAGTGGTGGACGAGGAGTGGCGGCGACAGCAGGAGAACATCGTGGATGTAGAGAAGTAAATGATGATGTACATGATTTTCGGCAATGCGGCGGTGCCAGCTTCATGCTTTCCCACACTTCCACACAAAAGCTCCAAAGCCTCAAAGCCACACCCCTCCCCCTCAAACCGACGGACGACACATGACATCACGAAGACCAACACCAACCACAGCACATCGCCACTTCACCGCAAGCAACCACATCACAGCACCAGCAAGCACTCTAGTACCAACCAGCAGTGATGGCGGCGCGTGCTTCTCCAAGTCCAACTGCGAAAAGGACGGCCCACATAAGCATCCTCCTCATCCTTCCCTTGCTCTCCGTGTTGCTGTTTCTCTGCGTGTGCGCTTGCATGGCGCAGGTGGTGTTGGAGGAAGACGAGGGCGGTGCCTTCCACATCAACACTAGCGACCCCGTGCAACACCCTGTGTTTGTAAACGGCATGGACGTGGCTAAAATGCTCGACCTGGTGCAGACGCAACAGAGCGTGATCGAGACCCAGCAAGGGATGTTGCGTGACCATCAGTCAACCATCAGGACGCTGCAGGGTCAGAACACCGCGCTCACGCGCAGGATCTGCGCCGCCCATGACGTGGCCCCGTTTGGTGACACAACAACGGTTGCGGGGCTTGGCACTTTCCCGCACAAGTGGCTCGGCGGAGCTGCCGGTCCCAACGGCTTGATCTTCGGCACCCCGCACGACTCAACGGCGGTCCTGATCATCGACCCGGTCACCCACGCCGTGGACATGACCACCATGGCGGGCCTGGGTCAAGGGGGGCGCAAGTGGGGCGGTGCCGTGCTTGCCAACAACGGACACATCTACTGCTTCCCTCACGGCGAAACGTCCGTGCTCATCATCGACCCCTCCACCAACACAACTGACAAGACAAGCATGGCCAGCGTCGGCAAGCAGTGGATCAGCGGTGCGCTGGCGCCAAACGGCGCCATCTACGCCATGCCCTGGTCATCGTCTTCGGTGCTCATCATTGACCCCGGCACCAACACGGCAGACACAACAACCATCGGTGGCCTCACCGGGAGCTGGTTCGGCGCCGCCGTCGCTGCCAATGGGCGGGTGTACTCGGCTCCCTTCTCTGCCACAGCCGTGCTCATCATCGACCCTGCGACGAACACCGCTGACACGACGAGCATTGCCGGGTTTGGCGCCGCAAACAAGTGGCATGGAACTGTGCTTGCAGACAACGGCCTCATCTACGGCATCCCTTCCAGCTCAACTTCTGTCCTCATCATTGACCCTGCTGAGGACACCGTCGACACGAGCACCATCACCAACCTCGATGGCTCGTCCAAGTGGGCCGGTGGCGTGATGGTGACGAGCACGCACATCATTGGCGTGCCCTTTGCCTCTTCGTCTGTGCTCCTGATTGACACGAAGACCAACATGGCAGACACGACCACCCTCACAGCTCCAGGCACTGGCGAGAAGTGGTATGGTGGTGTTGTGGACGCTGCCAACCGCCTCTTCTGCATTCCCTGGCGCGCCGGCTCGAGCCTCATTGTGGATGCTGGGTGTGGATGAGTGTGATGTGGTGAAGTGTTGTGTTGTGTTGTGTTGTGTTGTTGTGTTGTGTTGTGTTGTGTTGTGTTGTGTTGTGTTGTTGTGTTGTGTTGTGTTGTGTTGTGTTGTGTTGTGTTGTGTTGTGTTGTGTTGTGTTGTGTTGTGTTGTGTTGTGTTGTGTTGTGTATGTTCCTTTGCTCGTTCCAGCGCACTGTTCTATCAGGCGCTGACATCAGCAGAAAACGAGAAAAATCAAAACAAGCCCAAAACAACAACAAAAAACAACAAAAGAGGGGGGCGTGTGGGTGTTTCGCATTTGCATGTGTCCTCTTGCTGCCACTTCCTCTCTTCCTCTCTTGCTCCCGCCTGCTCTCGCCTGCTCTCCTTCTCTCCTTCTCTCTCTCTCCTTCTGTCCATCGTTCAGCGACGACCACATCCCTCTCCCACACGCACCCCCTTCGACCCGACAACTTGCTTTTGCTTCTTTGCCGACATGGCTGCTGTGTTGTATGCCGTGGTTGCCGAGGGCGCCCGCCCTCTGGCAGAACACTGTGAGCCTGGCACAGTGGATGCGGCGTCGCTTGTGCCGTCCGCGTTGGACCAGCTGCAACGTCTGCCACGAAACCAATCCCAAGGCTCAGTGGTGCTCGAGCAGGACGGTGTCCCAAGGTGCTGGGGCTGGTTTCTCATGTGAAGAGAAGGGAAGGAGTGCAGGATTCCAGGGAGCGAACCACGCGCAACTCATGCATTCTAAACGCGCCTGCAATGTCTGGTTGTGTGTGGCCATGCGTATTCCTTGTGTCCGATCTCTCCAACCTTGCGCGACTGATCTCCAGCTACCATGCATGCGTCATGTCTCTCCTCGCTCTCAGGTACAAGAAGAAGCACCTTTTCTTTCTTCGTCAGGACAACTTCACGTTTGCGTGTGTCACAGAGCGAGGCTTTGGTAGGTGCAGATGCTGCGAGAGGAGACAAGCGCTGCTCTTGGATTCCTGCGCGAAAGCTAGAGGGCTGCCTTCGTATTCTCTCGTTGTGTTTGTTGTTGTGCTTGTGGCACATGTTGTGCATTGCTTGGTGTACTATCCCTTGCTTCTCGTAGTAAGGTAGAAGCAGGCACACGAGCGCGCGCCGCACACACACACACACGCATTCACACACACACACACACACACACACACACACACACACACACACACACACACACACGCGCGCGCGCATTCACACACACACACACACACACAAATCTTCTTTGGCCAGGACAAGCCCGTGCCATGCAGTTTCTGGGCGAAGTGGCAGCGGAGTTTGAACCGTTCAAGCAGGCCGCGCGCCGTTACAACAACTACGAGTTGGACGACCGTTTCGCCAGAATCATCGCGGGACTCATTGTGAGCGTTATGACCGTGTCTTTCTTGCTTTGACTCTCTTGCGCTCACATCCGGGGCATGTGCAATCCCACATCCAAAGCTTATCGTCTTTCACATGGATTGGAATCGTTTCAACGACTCATGCGGTAGCCGCGAGCCCCGACCAACGACCCAGAACTCCTACAAGCCCAGCAAGAAGTCTCAGCAGCAACAGGCGTCATGCGCGACACTCTGCGTGCGTAGCCACGTGCTTTATTGCTTGTGGGAGTGTTGTGGTTGTGTCGGTGTCCGTGTTTGTTGGTGTATATGTACGTGCCCCTCTGCGTGTGTACATGTGTACATGTGTGCATGTGTACATGCGCGTACGTGCCTGTTTGGACCCAAACGCGCATGCTTGCTTGCCATCAGAACCAAGGCAACACCTCTCCTGAGCAACTTCTGCTGCTGTTTTGCTTTCACTCACACTTCTGCTGCTGTTTTGCTTTGACTCACACTGCTGCTGCTGCTTCTTCTTCTTCTTCTTCTTCTTGTCACTTGCAGAGAAGGTGGTTCAAAGAGATGAACTCCTGGAAGACTTACAAGGGCGATCAGAGGACATCTCAGGTACTCAGATCCATGTTGGTGCATTAGTGCTTCTGCCGATTCACGCAAGTTTCTAGCGTGTGTACACCACACCTGCAACATCCGGCGTGCTCACAGCCCGCCATCGTGGTACGTACTGACAATTCCGCACGTGTGGTGGATGTGATTCCGTTGTCTGCGTAGCTGACAGTGCTCGGTTCCAAACCAGATCAACCAAATTGAGGCGGAGGGCCGCTTGGTCCGCGTACAAGTACTACCTGATCCCCGTTGTTGTAATTGTTGTCCTTGCAGGGATCATCGCACTGTCCATCTGCTCCAAGCCGGGGAAGTGCACGCGCTCGCGTTCATCGCTGAAGCAGTGCAGTGACATTCCGGCACAGAAGTGCAACCCATCCTTGCAGGTGTTTGGGCACAAGGCCTGCGGAGACGACAGCAAGGTGATATGCGGGCCTAGCGCGTCAACTGTAAACCAGTTCTTCTCCCGCGACGGCAAGAAGTGCAACGCCGCCAATTCGCGCCTGACCAAGTGCTACGTCAAGCGCGCGGCCGAGCTCGACGCACTGTTCCCAGACAATGAGGTGGCATGCAAACACGTGCCATCGTACGCTTGTGTGTGCGCGCGCGCGCGCGCGCGCGCGCGCGTGTGTGTGTGTGTGTGTGTGTGTGTGTGTGTGTGTGTGTGTGTGTTCTTGTGTTGGGGATGTCTCCCACGAAAATGACTGTAAGCCGCCTGCTATCTGCTCCTGAATCTACCCAACTCACATGTTGTTGGCTTCTTGCGCTGACGCTTCTTCTTTGGCAGTTTTCACACACAAACTGCACGGACACCTGTACCAACGTTCTTCTGCGTCAAGCAACACGACTCCACGACAGCAAAGGTTCGCTCGTGGTGATGCGTGTGCATATGTTGACTTGTTGTGTGTCTGTGTGTCTGTGTGTCTGTGTCTGTGTGTCGTGTGTCCGTGTGTCCGTGTGTCTGTGTGTCTGTGTGTGTAAAGTGCTTTCACGTGGAGTCTCCGTCTCCCTGCGCTGCTCTCGACGCTGCGCCTAGCATGTTCGCCAACCTTGCTGCTTTGACGATTCGTGTTCACGACACCAGAAACCCCTCGCACCCTGTGGTTCGTAAACTGCATGTTTTGCAGCCTGTGAGCTGAGCAAGGACGCGAGCTTGCAGGCACTTTTCCTCCGCGACGCTCGCGCACAAACGCTGTGCCAGCGGTCGCATCATGTGTACTGTGGAGATCTTCTCTATGACACCATTCTGCCTTTGCGTGAAACAACCCCGACGAAACACAACTGCTCAACCATTTCGCGTGGTGGCACGTGCTTTGCTCATGTTCAGGTACACCCATTTGGGCGCCGCAAGTTTCAAGCAGGGAGAGAGAGAGTGTGTGTGTGTGTGTGAGAGAGAGTGTGTGTGAGTGTGTGAGTGAGAGTGAGAGAGAGGGAGAGAGAGGGAGAGAGAGGGAGAGAGTGAGTGTGTGTGTGTGAGTTTGGATGCAAGATAGTCTCCCCTCTAGTGTGCTCCCTTGTGTTCACACAAACACAATAATCCGACAATTCGACATCTTGCACTCTTTTCAGGAGCGCTGGGACGATCTCAAGCTGAACGTCACACTTACAGCGGAATTCTTTGCCTCCATCAACAACACTTGCACATCTTTTGGAATCACGCTGCAAACTTCGAGTACGCTGCGATTGTTGCACCCGACACGTGCAATATGCGATAACATGTGTTGTTGCTTGCAAAGCACGAAACACTGCGCTCATTCCCTCGCACACACACTCGCGCACACAAACGTTTCGCGCCTTCCTTCTCGGCGTTGCAGGCTCATTCTTGTCGGCTGCATCTGCTGTGACCGTGATTGTCATGGCACTGACAAGCATTCTCCTCACTCACTGAGGCGGAAGAAGAACCTCCCTCGCGTGTCAGGAAGTTGGCAACAGCTCCAGCTGCACTGATGCACATTCCAACAGCTGCACACACACACACACACACGCGCGCGCGCGCGCGCGCGTGTTTTCACCCTACATGTCTGGGTTGTTATGTCACTTGCTTGCTTTGTCGTCTCTGTTTTCTCTGGCTTTCACGTTGGTGGTGGCCTGGTCGTCGGCATGAATGAATCCTCCCTCCACTGTGTCAAGGGTCCTTGTGGTTCGGGCAGACGTTGCGAAGCAGACAACAGACATCACACCAAGCAAGACACGTCAACGAATCCACCACAACACTACCACATCAATGTCACATCATAACCGACACACAGTCATGTCACATCAGCATCAACACGGTGCGTTTGAAACATGTGCGGCCAAGCATGTTGTGTGGAAGATTTTCGGCAATTCTCAAGAAGCAAGCTGAGTTGGCTTCAAGAAGAGCCACTTCCTTCACACTGCTGCACGCAACCGCACTCCTCACTTCTTTCACTTCTTCGAGTCGCTAGCACGCGATCCTGCGATCTCGCGGTGTCTGTGTTCCCACAGTCTCACCTCCTCCCTGCCTCTGCTGCTGGCTTGCTGAGCCGTCCTGTGCTTGCACGCACGAACCAGAATCGGAAGACAAGAACCAGGCCTCAACGTCCTACAGCAATCGCACAACGAGACAAGCACAACCCTACAACCGAATCAGCAAACGATGGACGACGACAACAACGAGCAGCACCGCCTGACGGACGGCGTGTCTGTGGAGGCGTTCAAGACCTTCCTCGCAGACCTGCAGAGCGAGTTCCCCGGCACGTACACTGAGATGACCACGGAGGATGCCTGTAAGCAACTCGTGGTCCCACGCACCCAGCAGGACAACTGCGCGTACGTCGACCTGTTGCGCAAGCAGTCATCACATGAACATGTGGGCAAGGCCACCGTGTTTGTGTCGCACGCCTGGCGATACAAGATCGCAGACGTGCTCAACGTCTTGCTGGAGTTTGCGGAAGAGCAAGCAGCGAAGGAAGACGGCCAGCCCGTGTTCTTCTGGTTTGATCTCTTCATGAACAACCAAAACGCCAACGTCACGGCCAACCTCCCACAAGAGTGGTGCGTTTTGTGTGTGTGTGTGTGTGTCTGTGTGTGTGCGTGTGTGTATGTGCGCGTGTGTATGCGTGTGTGTGTGCATGTGTGTGTGTGTGTCTTCATGTGTGTGTTGTTGGTACTTTACTCGTTTCTTGCACACTCCCACATCCGCACACACGCCTTTCTCCTCACAACCCCGTCCACACCACAACACCACCCCCTCCTAACTGCAGGTGGAGCACGACGTTCAAGGAGTCGATTGCCAACATTGGGCGCGTGCTGCTGGTGCTCATGCCGTGGCGTGACCCTATGCCACTGACGCGCGCGTGGTGTCTGTGGGAGATCTTCTGCGGCATCAGCAGCGAGGGCACAGAGGTCAACATCCGCCTGCCGAAGAGTGAAGAGAAGGAATTGGAAGAGGCCATCCGCGGCAACTTCGAGGCGGTGACCGACACGCTGGTGCGCGTGCAGGCCGAGCGGGCCGAGGCCTTCAACCCATACGACAAGGACATGATCTTCAAGGCGATTCAGGATGGCGTTGGCTTTGCGGCACTCAACCAAGCAGTGAAGGACCAGCTGCGCGCGTGGTGTTTGGAGAAGGCGGTGGCTGCTGTGGAGGCGATGCGTGCGCGTGGAGAAGACGAGACAGAGGCGTTTGCGGAGCTGTGCGGTCAAGTTGCAAGTGTGCTTGACCAGTTTGGCGAGTATGCAAAGGCAGTTGAGTACTACAAGTTGGCGAAAGAGATTTTCGTGAAGACAGTGGGCGAGAGACACCCAAAGACCGCGAGTGTGTATGTGAACTTGGGCGTTTCATTCGACAGCATGGGCAACCACGATCAAGCAATAGAGTGGTACGAGAAGGCGAAGGACAACAGGGTGGAGGTGCTTGGGGAAAAGCATGCCGGCACGGCACAAGTCTTGAACAACCTGGGTAACGTCTACGATAGCAAGGGCGAGTACGACAAGGCGATTGAACACTTTGAGGCAGCGAGAGCTACCTTTGCGGAGGCGCAGGGAGAAATGCATCCAGACACAGCAAGCACGTGCAGTAACCTGGGCAAGGCATACTCCAGCAAGGGCGACTATGACAAGGCAATCGCGTACCATGAGACAGCGAAAGAGATCCAGTTGACACTGAGGGGGGACAAGCACCCAACTACAGCAGAAAGCTTCAACAATTTGGGGAGTGCCTACCTCGACAAGGGCGAGTACGACAAGGCGATTGATTACTTTCACAGGGCGAGGGCGGTGTACGTGGAGACGCTGGGAAGGATGCACCAGAGCACAGCGCACACATGCCACAACCTTGGCGTCGCGTACAGAATCAAGGGTGAGAGTGAGAAGGCGATGGGGTGGTACGAGGAGGCAAAAGAAATCAAGATGCGCACAGTTGGGGAGACGCACGCGAGCACAGCACAGACCTGGAACGCGTTGGGCGCCATCTACAACAGCAACGGCGAGCATGACAAGGCGCTTGCATACCACAAGATGGCAAACCGCATCTACACGGAGGCGCTCGGGGAGAAACACCCGGACACCGCAGACACCTATGGCAGCCTGGGCAATGTCTACAGCAGCAAGGGCCAGTACGACAAGTCGATTGAGTTGTATGAGAAGGCCAGGGCCATCTACGTTGAAACCTTGGGGCCAGTTCATCCACGCACAGCAGAGATTCAAAACAGCCTGGGCATCGCACACAGCAGCAACGGCGAGGTCACCAAGGCGATTGAGGCCTTCGAAAAGGCGAGGGAGATTGGCGTGGCGACATTGGGAGAGGAGCACCCGAGCACAGCAATGGCGTCCTTCAACATCGGTCTACTGCACGACCAACACGGTGACATGGAGCAGGCGTGCGCGTATATGCAGCAGGCACATGGCGTGTTCGCCGCCACGCTCGGGGCAGACCATCCCAACACACGCGCGGCTCAGGACAACCTGCAACGGATGAGACAACACGTTGCTGACGCCGCACGCGCCGGTCCAGCGGCACCACCACAAGTTGTTCCCGGACACTCCAGCACACCGCCCCTTGCCGGGTGGTTGCAGAAGCGTGGGCGGTGGAGACGAGCCTGCCGCACGTGCTGGGTTTCCCTGGATGACGAGGACCACTTGGTGTATGGCAAGTCTGCAGAACGGCCGCCGAAGCGTCGCGTGCCGCTGTCCAGTGTGGTTTCCGTTGAGCTCGCCAGCGCGGGCCAGGAGCTGCGTGTTGCTGTTCCGGGCCGGACGTTTGTGTTCCGCGCACATGCAAGCGCTGGGGCCACGCTTGAGGACTGGTGCGCCGCCATTCGTCGTGGCATGTGTGGGTGAAGTAGCAGGTGGGGAGGGGGGAGGGGGTGGTAGTGAGTAAAATGTGTGTGTATGTATGTGTGTGAAAGAAGCGTGTGTGTGTATGTGTGTGTGAAGTGTGTGTGTGTGTGTGTGTGTGTGTGTGTGTGTGTGAAAATGTGTGTGTGTGTGAAAGTGTGCGTGTGTGTGTGTTTGTGCCTGTGCATGCGTTGGTGTGAATGCTCTATTCCGTTTGGTCCTGCTCATCGATCTCTTCTCAGTACAAAGGTAGACACAAAGGAAGAAGGAAGGAGAGCGCGAGAAGGGAAAGAAAGGGAGCCTGTGAGTGCGCGAGTGAGTGGTGCTTGAGTGAGCGAGCACAGAAGGGTGAGCACACCTCCACACCTCCACACACAACACTCGCAGCAGCGCAACAGCAAGAGCGCAGCACTCACCACGCCCTGAATTCAAATTCCGCGGCACAAGTCGCTGCAGAATTCTTTATTTTCTTGGGCGATGTTGCTTGTCCTCCCCCCAATATCAACAACAACCACAACGCACACAAGGCACACCACACACAAGCAAGGCACTCCTCTCTGACTGATGGACGCGTAGTTGGAGTGCAGAAGACACAGACAAAGCCCAAACAGCAAGCACACAGCGGCAGGGAGGCACGCACGCACACAAGATGGCTCGCTCGTGTTGCGCGGTGGGATTGGTGCTGCTGCTGGTTCTGTGCCTGGCGCCAGGTTATGTCGGCGGCATCATTGTTCGCACGACGTTTGATGTGGATCGGCAAAGTGATCGTGGTTCGTTCAAGATACTCCGTTCCCAACTGTTTGGCTTCCAGCGTGGCGGTTCCCTAAGCCTACATCTCGACTGCGTACGTTTTATGTGTGTGTGTGTGCGCTTGTTTGTTTGTTTGTGTGTGTATGTGTGTGTGTGTGTGTGTGTGTGTGTGTGTGTGTGTGTGTGTGTGTGTGTGTGTGTGTGTGCTTGTGTGTGTTTTATGCGTTACGTGCACCATAGTGTGTGTGTGTGTGTGGTACATGCGTGACGTGCATCTAGTTGTTGTCTGTGTACACAAAGGTCTCTGTGTGTTCCCTGATCTTTTTGTTTTGTTGTCCCGCAACAGGATGGGAAGGTAGCGTCGCCGTCCCTCATCGCCGTGACGTACACGGACCTCTCAGATGTACGTGTGAAAATGGGATACTTTGTTGTCGTGTTGGTGATTGTGCTGCTGCTGCACGGCTCCTGTTGAACACGCTCCGTTGTTCACACACCTTGCATCGCCAACCACCATGCGCTAGTGGATTGGCACGGGTCGGCCGTGTTCAAGTCTCCAGGCAACCGAGCAGGTGTTCAACCTCACAAACAACCTCGACCCAGAAAGCACCCCAACGCACCCCATGTACGTGTGTGTGTGTGTGTGTGTGTGTGTGTGTGTGTGTGTGTGTGTGTGTGTGTGTGTGTGTGTGTGTGTGTGCGTGTGCGTGTGTGTGCGTGTGTGTGCGTGTGTTAGTGTGTAACTGTATCTGTGTTAGTGTGTTAGTGTGTTAGTGTGTGTGCGTGATGGCGTGAAAGACATCAATCAACGCATGTTCATGCGGAAACAACACTGTGTCTCGTCTCGTCTCCATCACACCCCGCGACTGCAACCACATTGCCACCAGCTATGCGTTGGAGGAGCCATATGGGGGCGAGGACCGGTCCAAGCTGTACACGTTCATCATCCGCGACTGTGGGCCATACACCGCACAGGAGCGCACGCAGGACGCCACCTGCGAGGTACGTACGCGCGTTTGTGTGCATGTGCTGTGTACATGTGTACATTTACATGCCTCTGTGTGTGTACATGTGTATGTGTGTGTGAACATGTGTATGTGTCCATGTGTATGTGTTCCTGTGTGAACTTGTATGTATGTCATAAGGTGTCAAACACAACAGCTGCCCGACACACGTGTCACCATGCCACCACCCTCACCACTATCGTTCAACCATGGAAGGTGTATTTGGTTGCCCTCAACCCCGGCGGCGAGCACCTCAGCAGAGATCAGGTCGGACACGCACACACGCGCGCACACACACACACACATGTACAAGATGTTGGCCAATCTTTTGCGTGCGCGTGTGCTGTATGCAGACATTCGAGACTTACGAAGCCTTTGCATCCACATTCGTGCGTGTTCCCATTTCATCCCACCACTTCTCTCACGCTACCACCACCACCACCACCATCAACACCACCTGCACAGGTTATGCTGCCTGATGTGTATCTTGGGCTGCTCATCTGCTGGGGGTGCATCCTCTTCTTCTGGGGCGTCAACACCTGCCTGTACTCGCAGGTGCGTGAGTGAGTGCGTATGTGCATGTGCACTTGTATGCGTTCATGGAGTGCATGTGTTCATGGAGTGCATGTGTGCGTATGTGCGTGAGTGAGTGCGTATGCGCATGTGCACTTGTATGCGTTCATGGAGTGCATGTGTTCATGGAGTGCATGTGTGCGTATGTGCGTGAGTGAGTGAGTGCGTATGTGCATGTGCACTTGCATGGGCGCTTGCGTCTTTGCTGTTTAGTTAAGGTGCCACCACTTCACCCCTCATGTCCCTTCACCCCTCATGTCCCGCCACCAGTACTCGAATGGCCTGCACACGGTGCTGACGATTGCGCCACTGCTCAAGACGGCGACACTCGCCTTTGAGCTCAACAAGTACACGTTCATCAGCAACCACGGTGAGGCCATTGCGGGCACACGCGCTTGCACGCATGCAGGGGTGTGGTGGTGGTGGTGGTGTGTTGTGCTCGTAATGTCGATGCATCTGCAGCGGGAAACAGACTGGTGCCACCGATGTGACGCCATGCGTTTGCCCACCGCTCCCACGCTCCACCATCACCCAATCACCACTCATCATCATCGTTTGTGGACACTACAACACGACCGTGAACACGACACCACCAATCACCAACCACCAACGACCAAATCACCAACTACCAATCGACGCTACCAAGGGTGGACGCCCGCCGATGCGGAGGTGGCGCGCATTCTTCTGCTGCACACGGAGAACGCCGTCTTCTTCATCACCCTCCTCCTCATCTCAAACGGGTTGGTGTGTGTATGTGTGTGTGTATGTGTGTGTGTGTGTGTGTGTGTGTGTGTGTGTGTGTGTGTGTGTGTGTGTGTGTGTGTGTGTGTG